CCCTGCAAACCAAAGGAATACTGGATGAATTATGAAACTCTCGACCACAATTATTTTTCTTCATGAGGATACAAGTACATCAAACACTTCATCCACAAGCATTTATATATACATATATGTGTGTGTGTATACATGTACATGTACATACACATATATACACATATATATAGATAATGTACATATTGCTTCCTAGCTGGAGGTGTGAAAGTCCTTTATCATTTTCATGTCCAGTTGATTTTTGCTTGACTCATCAATGCACAGTACCCTAGCGGAGAGGCCAAGAGATGAGAGGGTCTAAGAAGTGAGCCCAAGGGGTTGCTGCTGCTGCTGCTGTTCTTTTTCACTTCTTTTTCTGCCTTTCCTCCTGCTCCCAGTCCCCCAACCTCCACTGCCTTCAGTGCTTCTGCCACCACCAGTTTTCCTCTTGCTTGCCCCTTCAATACGAGGTCACCAATTATCGAGGAAAGGCGAGAGGGGAAGCTCCTTCTGCTCCAACGAGGAGGTCTGGATGGTGGCGAAGTAGGCATGAGGAATATAGTGAAAGCAAGATGTTTAGTCCTGTAAAAGGTCCAGAGATAAATAGACTTGGCCTTAACTAGACAGGTCCCTTACTTAACAACCACAGTCATTTCTGTATTGTTTTAATAGCTAATTATATTAGAACATCTGTGGTTGTTTGCTTTATTTATTTATATTAAATCTTATTTTAATTGATACTTTGCTTTTATATCACCTTCATCTTTTTTCTTTTTTTTAAACTTTCATTTCTTTTTAAAATGCCTTTTTTTCAATTAATAAAAAATTATTTTCCTCCCATCTCCTCCCAAACACTGAGGGAAAAAAAAGAAAGAAAAAGAAAAGCAAAACCTTGGTGACAAATATGCAAAGTCAAGCAAAACAAATTCCCACATTGGTTATGTCCAAAAAATATTTGTTTCAATATGCATCCTAAGTCCGTCACCTCCATGACAGAAGGTGTGCAGTCTGTTTTATCTCTGAAATCGTGATGGTCAGCTATATTAATGAAGAGTTCTTAAATGAAAGGCTATAATTAAGAATCCTGCTAGAGAACTGGACTTTCCCCCAACTTTAAGGGCACTGTTGGCACTGGAATAATAGCTGTGTCCCTGAGTTTATAGCTGCATTATTTCCAAATGCTTCTCCTTTCATTTCTCCTTTTTCCTCCCACATTAAGTTTCTACCCTTAAAGGTGTCATGATTTAAAATGCTTCCATACAACTACTTCAAGGCTCAAAATAAATATTTGCACAGATTTTGCACTGAAAAACAGTGACATGTATCCCATTTTGCCTTCAAGGGAGAACATTTTACTGAGCCAAAGGGGTAAATGCTTGAGTTTGTAAATCTGTAATGGGAGTGGATGACATTAAAGAGGCTGGATAATTAAATTTTTAATTTAAAAAAATAATAATTTTTTTCTTTCTCTTTTTTCCCCAGAAGGTGCTGCTGATGTTTCCAGACACATTTTCATTATTGTCCTTGTATCTTCAGCTGCATTCATCTTTCTAGTGATTATGTGTGTCATTTATAGAATTGATATACTTTTATGTTACAGGGACCTCATTAGAAGAGATGAGACTTTAACAGGTAAACTTTATCGCTTTACTGGGCTTTCTTTTCTTGTCTCATATATATACTCCGTTCTCAAATGAGAAGTTAGTGTGCATTTAATTGTATTGCATTGTTATGACATAATATTTGTTGTTAGATATAATAGTAAAGAGGGTTGTAGGGCTAAACAATACCTCCCATTATCTGAGGTGACACTTTGAATTACCTTAGCACTCAATGAGTTTTTACTGTGCTCTCTTCCAGTTTTCGAAATGTTATCTAGAAACTCTGCTCTGGTTGTTCTATAGTTATTTGTCTGTCTGTTTTGTCCCCTTCAAAGATGTGGGAACCTCCTCAAAAATAGGTCTTTTTCTTTTGTATGTGCTGTGCAGTGTTATATTCTTAATAAATATTTGTTGAATTAAGCTGAATTGCTGTTGATTATTTTGGCCTGGCAAGAGGAGCAACATTGGGTAATGGAAGGAACATTATATACAGAGTCACAAAACCTCAGTTATTTCTAGTATTAGCTCTTTCCCTCCCTAGTGTGTGACATCAGGCAAATCATTTGTCATTTTGAACCCAAGTTTACTCGTTTGCAATATGAAGGATGAGCACTAAATGACTTGGGGGGCAGAGGATAGAGTGCTGGATCTGGAGACTGGAAGTCATGAGTTCAAATCCAGACCATACACTTACTAGCCATGTGACCCTTGTCAAGTCACTTAAACTTTGTCTGATTCAGTTTTCTCTTCAGTAAAACAAGAATAATCATAGCCCAAGGTTTTTTTGTAAAGATAAAATGAAATAATATTTGTAATGTACTTTGTAAACTTTAAAGTATTATATTTATGATGTTGATTAGTCATTTTCAGTCATGTCCAACTCTTTGTGACACCCTTTTGGGGTTTTCTTGGCAAAGATACTACTGGAGTGGTTTGCCATTTCCTTCTCCAACTTGTTTTACAGATGAGTAAACTAAGGCAAACAGCATTAAGTGACTTGCCCAGGGTCACGCAGCTAGTAAGTACAGACTGGATTTGAGCTCAGGTCTTCTTGACTCCTGACCCAGTGCTCTATCCACTGTGCCAACCAGCTGCCAGAGTCTGATTCTATGACCCTAAAATTATGTAGGATAAGGTAATTATAATCTGTTGGATTTATGGAGATTAAAAAAAATAACACTGTGAGAACAAAAAAGCTCATAAGCTTGGTTGTGAGATGCATGGCTTTCTGGTGAAGAGAAGCTGTAGCAAACTGTGAGAAATCTATTATATTTACAATTTGGCTTTTATAAAGGACCCAAACAAAGTCCAGCAATTTAAACAGCCTCCTCTGTTTTTGAAACAAGTATTTTCTAGGTATTTTGGATCTGAGTTGGAAATATTCTTAACTAAGTTTTTCTGCTCATTTTTCTCAAGCTGGACAATTCATAGAAATGCTTATTTGGGTGTTTATTTTAAATGATCAGACTGTATCATAGAATATTTGTACATTTTTTAAAATTATGTTTTTGTTTTTTGGGGATTTATTTTTGCTAGTAGGACCAATGAAATATATGGGACCATTTGATTTTTTAAGGTGCAATAAACTTAGGAACAGATGGTCCTTTGGGAGAGTGGGCATTACAGATGTAATTCCAAAATGAAAAGTTCAGCAATTTTGATGAATGGAAAATTGCTGGTTAATTCATTATTCTGTCTTCTACACAAGTAGTCCTCCAAAGCAGCTGTGTCTTATTTAGTATAAGCCAATTAGAGTAGGTAGGTAGGGAAGTAGTTAAACAGGAAGAAATGAGAAATGAAACCTTGTTAAACAGAACTGCTCAAAATATCCCTGGGAGTAAACATTTATTTTAGGAAATTTTAAAAGTCCATAACACATACACACATAACTCATCTGCTAATAACTCTATAAAGCATATGATTTGACTAAAATTCAGTATTCATAGAATAATTTTTAAAACATTATATATTTGCTCCAGGATAGACTATTAACATATTGCTAAATTGTGGTTGTATACACACTAATGTCAGATGTGTTCATTTGTTGGTTTGAATCTATCTTAGTTTATTTATTACAACCTACCTCTATTGAAAATGTGCTTAAACTGTGCAATTATATGTGCTTTTATATATGTCTTCTGTTTCAAGATCCAGCTTTACTCCATAATCTGTTATGATGGCACATCTCAGAAAGTTAGAATCTTATTCTAAAAAATTATTTTTCACCATAGGAAAATAACAGTTCACAATAGTGATTCCCTGTTTTAGTTCAAAGGCCCTAACATAGATTAAAATAAGGAATGTGGGATAGTATATAAAAGAAAATTTACTATGAGTCTTCAGTAATCATACAAAGGTAAAGTAGGAAACAATTTCATCCTGAAGCTGGTGAGACTGAAAGATATTTAAGATAAGTGTGACGGGAATTGGTTGGAGAGAAAATAGCATGCTGACAGGTATAAATGTTTCTTATCTGTAAAATGAAAGGGTCCTTTCCAACTTCAACATTTTATGAGTTCAAGCACAGCTTGTTGAGGTGATGAATTATGCTACTGGAATATTTTATATTAAAAATCTGACCAAAAAACACAATAGTCTTCAGGTACGACTTGCTAAATGGTTTAGTACTAATGGATTAGTACTAATGGATTAGTAAGGTAACTCTTAAAAGAATACTGAATTCTCTCCTACAATTCCATTTGTGCCAGTTATATGTCCTCTTAGCCATCAAAATGAGACCATTCTCATATTCCCATCCCTTGTAATACTTTCTTCCTCTACTAATTTATATCCATCATGTCCTTTGAGGCATGACTTAAAACTTAGGTCTTCTAGGATGCATTCCATAATCTCCCACTCTGAACATATTTTCTTTCTGTCTCATTAACATTCATGGCTTTTCAATTTTTGTCATGTTACTTTGCACATGCTGTTATGTTGCTTTGTGATTGTTATTATTTCATTGTTGTATGTTTTGTCTCTTCAACTAGATTGGAAGATCCTAGAAGTTTGGAGTATCTTCTAATTTGGAAGGGTATCCTATGCAATATTATGCAAAGAGTCCTTTTTTTTTTAAACTAACACTTTCTCAGTTTTCCCCTTTGTTCCATGAGCAGCAAACAATTACATCCTTGTGGACCCAATAGGGGTAGTGTTATTGTCAGTGAGTAATGCTTTTCTCTATGCCAGAAGAAGCTTTCTTATTAAAAGGTAATGACAAATCAAGGAGTATGTTATATTAATGTCTTGTACACCCCTTTCTAGTATAGACTCCTCAATCTTTATTTTTTTTCTATCCCTTGAGTATATCCATCACTTGAAGTGTTATTTAGATTGGTCACAGAGATAAATCAAATCCAAGGTCAGACATTCCTGCTATCATGTAACAAAGAAATGATTGGTTACCTTCCTTCATTATCAACTCATGGGAATATTAGTTAGCTTGTCAGCCATTTGCTGTGATTTAACTTTTTCTTGTATGTGTGACATCCCTACAGTTCGATTTTAAGGTCTTCAATTCCCAGAGCAACTTATACTTCTTTCCCTTTCCCTTTCTCGTGGCTTCGGGGCTATAGCTGAAAAGTTTGGATTCAGTCAAAGGGCCACACTTGAGGACCTAGAGGGCCACATGTGGCCTCAAGGCTGCAGGTTCCCTACCCCTGCACTGTCTAACACAATGCTAGGCACATAATAGGCACTTAGTAATAACTAATAGCAGAGTAGGCATTCACTAAGTACTTGTTGATTGATCCCTACCTGATATTATACTCAGTAAATGATTACGGCTAAAATTTATTACAGAAATTCAACAAATGTATCTCCTTAGAGGAGAAAATGACATATGTGAGGTGTATGCTAAAGCAAATATTTTTCTGCTCTTTGATTATGATCTTTTGGTAGTTTTTATATATTAGTTATCTAAGTTCAGAAAAAATTTTAGCCATAAAAATGTTTTATTATATATTATATATGTGTATATAGAAAAAATTATGTATGTGTGTATATATACATATCTGATATATGTATGTGTATATATATATACATATGTGTGTACATATATATATATATATGAGATAAAACCTCCTAATATGCATTTCCATTCAAGTTTCCTTAAAATGCATTAATATGACAGGGAGTGCTCTATTTCTTAGCTGGATATCTGTTAAAACTGATATTATAACTTTTTCAAGTGATATCTAGGCATAATTAATATTTTGAACATTTTCTTCAAATTATGGTATGGATCAAATTTGATTTACATATCCAATCAGTTAAGAGAAAAATTTTTTCCCCTTAGATGGAAAAGAGTATGATGCATTTGTGTCTTACCTGAAAGACTGCCAACCAGATAATGGAGATGAGCACAAGTTTGCTCTAGAGATTTTACCTGAAGCCTTGGAAAAACATTTTGGCTATAAATTATGCATATTTGAAAGGGATATAATTCCTGGAGGAGGTAAGCAAAAAGAATTTAGGGTTGGAAACCAGTGAAGGTGTTTTCTGTCTAAATAAAAGATAAAGGGACAAAAGTAGTTATGACATAGTGTTTTAACCTTGTAAATGACTGCTTTTTTCTTGTCTTTTCTAAAAAAGAAAAAAAAAAAGGAACAGCACACAGAAACCTTCGGTATCTGTGCTTTTATTTTAGGTTTACCCAGCAGCTAAACACATGTTAATTGTGGTAGCCCTGGTAACTTCCTTTCTAAGAATCTGTTTATTTTCTGTGTTTCGCACATTTCTCTGAAACTGTGGGGTGGGCATACTGTTTTTAAGATCAATTTTGATATTAAACTAATCAAATTCCTTTGATCTAGAAAGTCAGAATCCTGTTCCTATTTTGATGAAACATTTTGTGTGACAAAAGCAGTTCCCCCTATTAAGAAACTAACCACTATGCAATTTGTACAAGTGATATCCTTCCAAAAAATATTTACTTGTCTTTACAAAGACAAAGCTTCAGCTGACAAAAAAATAAAGCAAATTGGCGAGTTGGTAGTGGATAAGTATAAGAAATGATCATTACCTCTTTATTCATGAATTTTTGGAGAGGTTCATCATCCAATTGACCAGAAAGTGATGAATTTTTCAGTTGTAGGGATTACGGAGTGGCTGTGATCTATGTCAGTAAGAGTACCTACATCAATGAATTTTGCGTGTGTGTGTGTGTGTGTGTATGTGTGTGTGTGTAAGGGTAATTTTTTGCTGGCATGAGTGCAGAGCAAAAGTTGAGTTGGACAAAGCCCCATCCAGTCTTTACCTAGCTGCCATGATTTGCATGGGTCATAACTGGCATTACAGGAGTGGAAAGGCATTAAAAAGAATTTTCACCTGCAAATTCAAGTGTTTAGATTGAAAGAACCCAACAGTAGGAGGAGGAGGAGAAAAGCAATTTTTCAACCTCTGCCTCTCACCAAAACTGAAATAGCTTATTCTTCCCTTGATTCTTTCATTCATTCTTCAGTTCATTTGCTTATTTTTAAGTAGCCAGAAAATGTCATTTCTGAATAAAATATACTTAATCAAACCACATAATTAAGAAGAAAAATTCCACCCCACACATATTCTTGTACACTCTCCTAATGGTTAACTCATACTACTAGTGAAAGAGGAGACAGAGGAAAAATATAGGACTGGGGTTACTCATAGGGCAGAGCTGCTCATCTCCTCTGATGACGTCACAATTCTGTTTTCTGCCACTCTCAGCAGGTGTCTGCTGATTTAGTGCTCAGCGGTTGGGTTTTTCTTTCAGTGCTGGTCTTTAGCTGCGATGTGGGTTCTTTGCTACACCACAGCTACAGAATCTTAGCTCTAAAAAGCTCAGATGATTTCCAGAGATGGCAACCCACAACAACTAATTGCCCCTAGCTAACTAGCTAGAAAAGCCTTCAGGCATTCAATGCTCTGTTTTGAACTGCTTTTTCCCTGCTGTTATTTGTGGTTTCTTTCAGTGTGAAATTGTATTTGATTTAGAGTTAAGAAAACTATTTTCAACTTCTTAGCAATCTCATGATGCCAAGCATGATCCATGCACATCAGAAGGGCTGAGTGAGGAAGGATCAAAGGGTTGATGTCCTAGGTATACCCTTTTGTTCTACGTTCTTGTCATCAAGAAAAATCACTGTTTTCTTTATACACAGGTGTGTATTATACATTATATTTATTGAGTGACATTTGAGAGGCACCATGGCTTAGTGGGTAGACAGCTAGCTGCCCTTAGAGCTGCCTGAGTTCAAATCTTCCCTTTGGCATTTACTGACACTGTGACCATGAGCAGATCACTTAAACTCTTAGTAGTCTAGGCAACTTTCTAAGACTATATGATGCAGAGAAATTAACTACCTGTATTGGTAGAGGCAGTTTTCTAAGTTGAGAGTTCTCTATATCAAATCGTGGGTCTAATCTCTATATTTGTGGAATGAGAGCACTGGACTTAAAATTCAGATACTGAATTTGTAACCTTCCTTAGACTCATAATGATTATGTTAACTTGGGCAAGTCATGTTATTTTTCTACATTCAGTTTCCTTAACTATAAAACTGAGATAATACTTGTACTATCTCCCTTATGTGGTGGTTTTGAAGAAAACATTTTATAAATTCAAATATTATGTAAATGTGAGGTTATTATAATGCAGAAAAGATGAATTTTAAATAGGTCTGACAAAATTATTTTTTAGTCTTGTTTTCTATTTGGGAATAACTTTTTAGTCTCATTTTCTATATGGGAATAATGCTATGACTTCCAAGAAGACACCCTAATTTTATAAGGTCCACAAATAGATTAAGCTATATTACTCCTCTTTAAAAGATTTTTGGATGATTGCAATTTCCTGGCTATCCTTTTAGCTACTCTAACCAAATATACATTTTTAATTATCAGCTATTGTTGATGACATCCACTCATTGATTAAAAAAAGCAGAAGGCTAATCATTGTCCTGAGTGAAAATTACATGTGTGATAAAGTCAGATATGAACTTGAAAGTGGACTCCATGAAGCACTGGTGGAAAGAAAAATTAAAATAATCTTAATCGAATTCACACCTATTAGTGACTTTACATTCTTGCCACAGTCCTTGGAGCTTCTGAAATCTCACAGGATTTTAAAGTGGAAGGCAAATAAGTCTCTTTCTTACAACTCAAGATTTTGGAAGAATCTTCGATACTTGATGCCTGCCAAAATTGCCAAGTGAATTGTTTTTTTCTTCAGATCCCTTGGGAAATGAATCATTGCCCATTCTTCCAAAGGTTTAGTCTTCAAGAGGACCATGCCAAGTAGCTGGTTTTAAAGACATCATGAGACTATGTAATGAAAGACTTAAATGAAAATCTCCTGTCTTCATTTCAGCAAACTGAAGAGTTCATTTGAAATAAATCTTATTTTGGAATCGGTACAAACCTCTTCCTCTTCATCATTGTGAGAGTGACCTAAATGAAGTTCTCTTTCCTCTCCCTTTTTGCTTTGTCCTGACCTTATGTATTGCTTACAGTCCCCAGAGAAGGATGGATATACTTTGAAGCATGTTGTACTTGCTTGAGTGTAGATCCTTAGTTTTGAATGCTAAGAATCCCATTGGATTGAGTGGTTCCTATTAAAAAGAGAGACATGAACATTTCATGTAGATTGAGGTAGATGCCTTCACTCTCTCTCAATAACTGTCTACTTCTCCTCAGTGCTTATGTGAAATATCTTAGACCAGAAGGAAGGGGAAAATGACAAATATGGCTTGCAAAGTTAAGGAAGGCCTTAACCTTCTGAATATGTATCTTGCTGGCCGAATATTCTGCTTACCACCAATTCATCTTATTTCATACTGGGTTTCCACTATTCCAGTAAGGCATTACTAATCTGAGATCAAATCTGGACTCTGACACTTACTAGCTGTGTGACTAGTTAAGTCAGTTAACCTTGTTTGCCTCAGTTCCTTATCTATAAACTGAGTTGGAGAAGGAAATGGCAAACCTCTCCAGTATCTTTGCCAAGAAAACCCCAAATGAGGTCACAGATAGAAGGATACATCTCAAACAACTGAACAACAGAAAAATCCTTAAAAATTTCTTTAAAACTGCCTTAAGAACCTTGTCATCTGTTTGTATGGAAAACATACAGAATTATGCGGTTTATCATTTGTAATAAATTAAAAACTTGTTTATTCTATATCAGCTTTTCTACAGGTGTGGTCCCCAAGTTCCCTTGGGGTCCCCAACCCCTTTTCAGGTGGTCTGTGAGGTCAAAATTATTTTCACAATAATACTAAAGCATTATTTGCCTATTTAGAATACTCTTCCTTTTTTCAACTATGTATTGTGTGAGGCCAGATTTTCTTCAAGGACTTCAACTAAAACAATATATTAAAGCACCCTGAATACAGCAGCAGATATGAGAATCCACCTGTCTTCTATTAAGCACACATTAAAGAGATTTATAGAAATATATTTTTTAAAGTTACTCTTATTTTGGGGTAAGTATTATTTTTCAAAAGAACAATATTTCTGCTAATATGTAATGGGTTCATCATGGTTATTTTAAAATGAATTAATAAATAATTTAAAATTTGATTAATTTTAATTTGTAATATAGGTGTCAATTGATATAATTCAATAAACAAAAGCTCTTTGGGGTCCTCAATAATTTTCAAGAAATTAAAGGTATCCTGATATAAAAGGTATGAAAATTGCTGGCCTATATTAATTTCACTTATATTTAGGGATGGGTCAGAAGCCACATGGGTTCACCAGTGGGGTTTTTTTGTGTGTTTTTCTTTTTAAGGAAGATTTATGTAATTCTAAGCAGGATGATAAGATTGATATGCACCTACTGCCAATACTTACTATCAAGTCTTTGGTATAGATTAAAACAGGGGTTCTTAACCTTTTCAGTGTCATAGACCCTTTGGGCAGTCTGTTGAGGCTTGTGAACCCTTCTCAGAATAATGTGGTGGTATTGTTTTTAATTGAATAAAACGTTTAATTTCAGTTAGGAGATCAGTAAAAATAAAGATGTAACTTTTTCCCATCCAAGTTCCTGGATTCCCTGAAAGGTATCCATGGTTAAGAATGGGTAAAAGAATAGGTGGACTAAAGTGAAATCTGATAAGGTTAAGGAAGGAAGTCATTAAAGTCTGCAAGGTGAGCTGTGGAAATTTGCTCCAACTTCGGGAGAAATGATGGCAGGTATATTTTGACACTGAAGGAATGACTAAGGTAATTTCTAAATAAATGAAATAATGAAAATACGGTAAGGCCTACTACACGATCATTTCAGTAGTCTTACCTGTCAATAAGTAACATCCAGTTGTTCAGGAGATTAATGTATAATTGTTGCTAACCTATGACCTACAACTGAAATTCTGGGTTCACATTAACTGGGTCTAAATATTGAGAAATCTTATTAGGTATCTCTTCATTTGCCTCATGGCTCACCCAAGGTTTTCCTTGAGAACATTGATTTGTTTTAGCCATACCCAGGCTTTTCCCTGGGAATATCAGAATTTGGTTATATGTCTAGGTCTCTGATAAAAAGGAAAAGGGCCCTCAGTAGGTACTCAGATAGGCAAAACATCCTTCAGTAGCACTTCTCTGGATTCAGGGCTTAGGGCATGGAGGATGTAAGGGCACAACACAAGGGAAAGAACTCAGGGTTGTTAAAGAGTCAAACAATCCCGCTCTATGGCACCTATACATATAGTATTACCTTAGCTACCCTATCCCCACAAATAGGGAAAAGAACTCAGAGTCACTGGAGAGTAGAGTCCCCTTTTCTAAGATTTACACAGTTCAAGAAACTCACTGTACCAGTAAAGAGCAAGGTCCAGGTTTACTCCTCCATGTTATGATTCCACCTCTTTCTGACTCTCATTTTTAGCATCTACTTTGTCCAATAATTTCTTTTCTAGGTTCAGGAAGATTAGTCTAGGAAACTAATGCATATGGCTTCCTAGAGCACATGGTTTTCTGGAATGGCATGTTGTCTGGGTGGCTGTCTCTGGAGGAAAGAGAACCTATTTGTGTCTGAACAATTTTTCTTTACAACCTCCTGACTATTATTCTCCTATCTATCTAGCTTTCCACTTTAAGGCCCAAATCTGAGTTTATGGCCCAGATTTATGAATTGAAAATTGAATCCTTAGTGTGGTATGAATGGGGCCACCTAGGACAGTACAAAGAATTAACGATTTATTAAGAGTTAACCCCATTAGCAGAATTTCACTTCTTGCTTAAGAGACATTAATAATGCCACAATAAAGCCCTTATCAGTAGGGTCCTTAGGGTTCTGAGCAATGTCTATGTAATAAGAACAGCTCACATTTATATGGCATTTTATAAAACACTTTTATCCCAACAACCCTGTGAGGCAAAGTACATTTACATTACATTATTTATTCTTTCATTTATATACATATTTACATGTATACACACATATACATATATTTGTATATATTTCTTACTTTCAGAAGAGAAAAACAAGGCTCACAGATGGGAATGGCCTTGATAAAAATTACACATTTAGTAAGTGGCAGTCTTGGAACTCAAACTCAGGTCTTCTGACTTCAAATACAATACTCTTTCTATTATACTTCACTACTTTTTTCAGGTTTAAATATATCTACAAATATTGAATCAGTCATACCCTACCAACTTAGGGACAAAATGTGACTATGACAAAAATCTAGGAAAATTTAGTGAGGGAATGTGGTAAAGTGGAAAGAACACTGAATTTGGAATCATAGGACCTAAGTTCAAATCCTGACTTAAAACCTTTGTGACTTGAGCAACTTACTTAAATTCTGTGGGCCTTATTCTCTCCATCCATAAATGAGGGGATTAGATTGCAAAATTTCAAAATACTTAAGGTAAATATTTATAAATGCTTATATCAATAAAACAGAGAAAGAACAGACCAATGATTTAGGCATGCAACTAATAAAACTAAGAAAATGACCAATTAAAAAATCTTCTAACACCAAAATCCTGAAAATCAAAGGAGAGATTAACAAGGCTGAAAGTTTAAAAAGTTGAATAAAATTAGAAGCTAGTTTTAATTAAAAAAAAAGATAAACCTTTGGTTAATTTGTTTGAAAAAGAGAGAGAAGAAAACAATTACCAGTATCAAAAATTAAAATGGTGAATGCACAATCAAAGAAGAAGAAATTAAAACAATTATTAGGAGTATTTTGCCCAATTATATGCCAACAAAACTGACAATCTAAATGAAATGGAAGAAATTGAACAAGCCATTAGTGAGCTCCCTTAGGAAAAAACAAAACAAAACAAAACAAAATTTAGGGCAAGATGGATTTTACAAGTGAATTCTACCAAGCCTCTAAGGAATGACCAATTCCAATGCTACATAAACTATTAAAAAACATAGATATAGAAGTCCTAACAAATTTCTTCCATGACACAAATATGATTTTAACACCTAAACCAAGGAGAATAAAAACAAAAAGAAAACTATAGACCAATTTCTCTAATGAATATTGAAGCAAAAAATTTAAATGAAATACTAGCAAGGAGATTACAGCAACATCATACAAGGATCATACAGATGGGACTTATACCAGGAATACAAGGTTGGTTAAACATTAGGAAAACTATAAACATGATTGACTGTGTAATAACAAAAACAACAAAAATACATGATGTTATCAGTAGATGAAGAAAAAACTTTCAGCAAAATATAGTACCTATTCCTATTTAAAAAAAATACTTGAAAGCATAGGAATAAATGGAGTTTTTCTTAAAATGATGAATAGTTCTATCAAAAACAAAAAGTAAACAGAATTTGTGATAGAGATAAACTAGAAGCCTTCCCAATAAGATCAGGGGAGAAGCAAAGATGTCCATTTTCACCGTTATTATTCAACATTGTGCTAGAAATACTAGTTATAGTAAAAAGATAAGAAAAAATGAAGAAATAATAGGTAACAATAAAACAAAACTGTTAATTTTTGCAGATTATATTATGTTATACTTAGAGAACTCTAGAGAATCAACAACATAAAACATGAAACAACAGCTTTAGTGTAGTTGCAGAATCTAAAATAAACCCATATGAATCATTAGCATTTCTATATATTTCCAACAGAATCCAGCATTTTGCTGATTTGCAGATTTATATGAGCTAATACAAAGTGAAGTGAGCAGAACTAGGAGAACATTGTACACAGTAACAGCAATTTTGTAATGATAATCAATTGTAAAAGACTTAACACTGATTAAGACAATGATCCACAACAATTTCGATGAAAAATGCTATTCACCCCCAGAGAGAGAACTTCAGGAGTTCTCTTTGAATACAGATTGAAGCATAGTTTTCCACTTTATTTTTGTTGCTTTTTCACTCACAACATGGCTATAATGGAAATATGTTTTGTATGACTTATAATTTTTTTTAAATCTCTAAAGTCCCTTCCTGCTTTAGATCTATGGGATGATGATGATGATGATGATGATAATGCATTTTCATAGACCTGGTTAATAATTTCAGATGGAATTTCTTTAAATGAGGGAAATATAAAGTGTTAAAGTTTATGCAGAGAAAGGTTTTCCCTTTTGTATTTACTATATAAGAAATTTTGAAGTTAAATATCTTTGGCTAAATTCAAACCTAAATGTAGTTCTATTTGAACTTCCCATGTTTGTCATACGTTTGGATGTGATTCTTAGCAAAGTGCTAGCCAGATTCATTCATTCTTAAGACAATGGATTACAACAGGTACATTCTGTTACATGATATTTTGTTACTTTTTTCTTTGGTACATAGATTTTTAAAAACAAATAAAATGAACTACTGGATTTTGTGTATTTTGACTTTTTAAAGTCTGAGATCTTTGATTTTCTCCTCAAAATCACAGTCACAGAAAGTGTTACGGTTGGAAAGGACTTTAGGATCATTTAATATAGTCTTCTTATTTT